AGTACACACTGCGCTTGCCATTCAATACCTCGAGCATGTCATTAATGAGTGGAATGACATGACGCCGGACGTACACCAGCGGCTGCTCACCTTATATTTAGACCGGCTTACATCCAATGACGAGCAAGGGGAATGGAAGGAGAAGTTCTTGACGATGTTGAAAGAGAGCGAGCAATACTCGCCAGCAAAGATGTTAGATCGACTCGATCGAGAGGGTTCGTTGCACGCTACTCCTATGAAACCAGCCGTCACTGACATAACCAAGATCCCAACTTCTACGAAGCCCGTGCTATCCTATTTAGCAAGATGGGCCAGCATCGACAGGCGCTCGAGATCTACGTCTTCAAACTTACGGACCACGAGAAAGCAGAAGAGTGAGTTGTATAACATCTCTCCGAGAGCAACAATTGCTAACGCCAGAAAGATACTGCAACCAGGTTCACCTCGCTGAAAAAGCCAAAGAAGAAAATTCAATCTACCTCACACTCCTTTCCCTTTATCTCTCCCCGCCCCACGGCTATGAGCCTCAAAACGATCCCGCAATCGACCTACTAGCCAAGCATGGCTCACGCCTCCCAGCTGACGCGGCGTTGAAACTCATACCGGACAAACAGGCTGTACAGAAACTTGAATTTTATTTCAAAGGCCGCATGCGCGCCGCAAACTCTGTTTTCAACGAAGCACGCATTGTGGCAAACCTGCGCAAGGCACGAGATATGCAGATCCAAGCCCAGCTCGCTCTTGGCGAAGGGGTTCGTGGTGGAGGCACGCGGGCCCGCCACGTCACTGTCACCGAGGAGCGAATTTGTGGCGTCTGCCATAAGCGTTTGGGAGGGAGTGTGATCAATGTTTTCCCCGAGTAAGTCGTTTCCGGTCATTTATCTTTTTGGTGTGTTAATCGCTGACTTGTTTCAAGTGATACCGTGGTTCACTTGGGGTGTGCCAATCGAAAAGCTAGTGTTCGAGCTGGGTAGGGTGCTTGCTCTCCTGCATCTGAATCCGAGGGGTCGTTCTTCTTGTTCTTGTTTTCCATGTCTTTTTTGTTCCAGGTTCGAATTTCTCTTCTCAATTGGTTTGTTTGTGTCGACGGAGGCTATCACTGCGACTTTGATACCCATAGCATCTGCCTTTTTCAAGATACATCTTGGTCATGCGATCATGCATCATCCTCAATCACCTCCTCTCCGTAATTTTCCTCCTCCTTAGCTTCCTGTTCCGAGAATTTGCCCTGCACCTTCTTGTCCTCTTCCATGCGCTCCGTAAGGAAGATATTGATCTGGACCTGCAGCTTGGGTACGAGCGACTGCAGCGCTGATAGGTGGGCTTGCTTGGCCGCTAGTGTGCCGGTTGTGGTAGAGATCACATGTTCAAAGGTCTCGGTAGATTGAGGGGCGGTGTAAACTGCATTCAAGCTCGTGTTGGAGGTCATTTTGAAATTCGATAGTGAAGTTGGGAAAACTGTTGGTGCTGGGAGGGGGGGGGGGGGGGAGATGGCAGAGAATAATGTCCCTAGCTGTGCTACCGCCTTTCTTACCGCCTCGCCGCTGATCTAAGCCTTGTAGCCGACCTCGGGGCTTGGCACTTCTTCTCTAGGGCTGGCTCCAGGTACGGCTGAGTACCAAGATAAGATTTTGCTGAGTACTTTAATGATCATACGGTAGCATTTCCGGGGCTTATTTCTGTTGGGTTCTAGTAAGGCAGCAATACCTAGTCTGTATGCGACCTGGATATAATACTAGTGAGAAAGTGGTGGAAATATGAGATGGACGAATACAAGTGCCAAAGACAGCATAACGCAATGAAATTATTTACAAAAAAATAAAAATCAAAAAGCCATAGAAACTCCATTAAGTTAAGATCGGATTAAAAATTAGCCAAGTCTCCGCATCCTTCGTCGATCTGAGATTCTGCCAGATAGAGGTCAAGAAAGGGATCGGCGACTGCCCCAGAAGTGGCCTTTGTAACGTTGTAAGAGAAAAACTTCGAAAAATAACTCGCTTGAAAGAAACAAACAGGGCATGGGACTACCCGTTATGACTTCTACCTTCCGATCCCCCAACTCGCCTGGGCGTCAAGTACCTCCTGCCCCTCGCTACCCCCGACCTCCGTCTGATGACGAAGAGGAAGACGACTCCGATGAAGACGAATTGGTTCGCCCCGGCTCCTCCGGTAGTGACGCCTCTTCTAATGTGACCACCGTTTCCGCCACTCCTATCACTCCTATCCATACTCAAACGTCCTCCGGGGGTTACTTCCCTCCACAACCACGCTCGGCCACCTCACCTCATCACCCTATGCCGAATCCAGCTCGAAGGCCCTCCGGCCGGGGCCCCTCTGTCGAGCTGTCCCGGCATAGATCACGGCATCACTCGCAGGGCTTCTTTGAGCCTTCTTTGCCAACCGCCTCCTCCGACCAAGCCTCTAACGTGTCAGCATCCCGTATCGCCGCCCAGGCAGCCATGCAGCAGACAAAAAGGCAACAAAATGCCATGACCCCGATAGAGGATGATTCTCGTCCTAGGCGCAGTGGAAGTAGCTCACCTCCTCTCATTCCTCCTCCAATGCGTCTCAATCAACCCTCCCCACAACCGCCTCCACCGTCTGGGAACGTGGCCACGACAGCTGCGAACGTGGTCTTCCCGCGAGCCAATGCTCCACCGGTGGAACAACAGCCCGAGAAACAGAAGAAGAAGAAGCTCTTCTCAAAGCCAAAACACATCGGAATCAGCAGTCATAAAGATCTGGGCAAAGACCGTGGTCTTCCCTCCCCGAGCAAGATCAGTGGGTTGTCGCGAATGGTCAGCGGTTCGACTACAGCCATGACCGACTTGTCCTCGACCAACTCGACAATTTACAATTTGGCCAATGCCTCCGTGAGCACAGTCGTCCCTGCAGATCGTCCGCTGCTTCCAGAGAAGGAAAAGGACAAAGACAAGCACAAGCATCATTTTCTGTCGAGGCAGAAACTCAAATTAAAGGATCGCGTCGAAGACCATTTCAACCTTACTCTATCATCGGCATCGAGTAATTCTCGTCCAGCAGACCCCAATGCCCCGCAATCTTTATACTCCTTTACACCTGCGTCTCCGGCTCCGGGAGCGACATTTGGCAAGTCGGTCAGTGGGTTGGACCTCCTGCATGGCGGTCGAGCACTGCGTGAGAAGAAAAAGGAGGAGAAGGCTCTTGCTGAGTCGGAGCAGATGGAATGGCTCGCCAATAATGCTGGCGGACCCACGACACCCGGCGTTTTCCCAGGCCCGTCTTCGGTTGGTAGTTCGGGGACATTTCCCGATCCTATTCTTCGAGAGACCTTGCAAGGGTTTGGGTTGAATAATATGACCACAGAGGATGCGTGGGACTTCCTGAAGGCGAAGCTGCTGGTCATCTTTGATGGTGAAGATGTGCGCATTGCCATTGAAGATCTCAACAAGCTGGTGCTCGTACATTTACAGCGTTGCGTCGTTAAAAGGGCCCCTGCCTCTATTATTATGGACCTGCAAGATCTCCTGCAAACTGGATTTGCGAATTTGAATCATAGTTCGTTGATAGGCCTCCCAGATGAAAGGCTGGTCCCGCATCTGGTTCAAGTGTGGCTGCTGGTGTTTGGCACAATTCTGCCCTTCATTCAGGCTGTGTTTCTCCCCTTGGATCTCGAGTTCAAGGGCTGTGGATCCTTGATGACTGCCCGAGAAGCCGATGAATTCTGGAGTACACTGCATGTGGGTGGAACACTCGATGTGCGAAGTATAGTCTTGATGGCCTTCCGAGACTGCATGATCCTAAATCGCTACGATGCCCTCAAAGCAAACTTCTCCCGACTCAGCCTAGAATCTATCAACTCCGGATTCCTGACGCTCAGCGTCACAACCAAGAGCACCAGCAACGGAGGCCGTCCTGGCACTGCAGCCTCGCTAGATGCCGGCTTTGGTAGCTACAACTCGCAGTCATCAACGCTTCTCAGCACCGTAGCCGACAGCTACTCTTCCGACGGCAATACCGCCCTGGCCAACCACCCCCGTCCATCAAGCAGTGACTCTCGTAGTCGCGCTACCTCGAACACATCTTCCAACGCAGATCCACTCTTTTTCCAGTCCATCGCATCGCCTCCAACCTCTAGCAAACGGCCCGCGCCCACTATCATCCACCGTGGCAGCTCCGCCGATTCTTCCCACATCATCACAGAGACCGTCGGCCGCATGCTACAATGCATCAGCGTCCTGGCCAGCGTGCAAACCGACGACTCTGCCCAGGAGCGGATCGAGATTCTTAGCAAAGCTCTCAAACACAACTGGCTTGGCCGCGGCCGCACTGGCCGTGATCGTCGTGGCTTCGTCGGCGCCAAGATCCGGCCTGTGATGGTTGGTGGACCTCCTGTATTCGATGATGCAGATTCCCTCACTACGGCTGGCATCAGCATCGGCGCTAGTACCAGTACAGGGGGATCCCGAGGTCGAGGTGACTCGTCCTCGTCGGAATGGAGTTCCACTGTTCCGGAACCTGGGATGAGTGTGCGTAGTGGTGCTCGACGAGAACTCAGTGTTCGCTAGCTTTGTGTATTTTCTTCCAGCTACTCGTTATGATTGTATGAAAGCGGGCGGGTACTTTTTCAATAAAGGGGCGTTTCCTTTGTTTATGTTTTAAAATTTAAAAGAATTGAAATTCTGTCTCGGACATTGTCGAGCACAGTCGAGTAATTTCATCCAAGATGTCATTCTACTTGGGGAAATGTGTAAATCTTACATTTTTTTTTATTTTTGGTTTGATCTGTAGTTATAGTAACCCTTTTTTTGGCCGTTTAGAATTTTCCCATTCAAAGACTCAAATGTGAAGTTGTATCCAACAGGAAATCCGATAGTTAGTGGTCACAAATGGCACGCAGGGCCCGGCTATCGCTAGTAGCCACTGGGTATAATCATCGATATGCATGTCCATATCCACCAGGAGAGAACAGCGTCTCACCTCGCCATCTCAAACAACTCAAACATTCAAGGGTAAGCGGCTTACTTTTGAACCCTCCTTTTATCTTTCAGGTTGACTTTGCCAGACTCCTTGAGGGCCCTATATCCAACCTGGCAAGCGGCGCCGGAAACCTCCCAGCCAAGCTCAGTCGAAACATCCTCAGCAATCTGCGCAAAGTCCTGGTCATCAAGCTCCGAATCGAGCCCTCCCAAGGTATCCAGAAGAGCCTCCTACTCTATTTGTCAGTATTCAGATCCATAAAAGCCCACTAATCATCTCCAAACAAACCCCCTAACAGCCTCCGGGGCTGAGAAGGTCAAAGGGTCAAGTGAGTACCTACATCGAAACCGGGCCAAGGACCAATTTTATCCTTAATGCGTCCCCATCGCTTACTTAGCGCTCGCCATGTCATCTCGTCATCTGTGTCAGTTCGATTCTCGTTCCATGCCGTGGTGATGTCCATCCACGATATCGACATCGTCTCCTTCATCTGCGACATCATCTTGTCTGCAATGGATGCTGTCTCCCATGACTCTGGGGTTGCGTTGCCCTTGGGGTTCTTCTTCGCATTGGAGCTCGGCATGATAGAGGAGCTGCGCAGACGGCGTGGGGAAAAGCTGATCTGGGCCTCTGGGGTAGCTATCTCGGCCTTTACCTTGGTCTTGGAACGACGGCGAGATAAGGCCAAGGTGGGCGCAGGCGTCACGGGCTGCTTCTTGGAACGGCGGCATGTTGACGTAGACGGAGGGGTTGCGCTCTTGGTTTTGGATGAGGTGCTACGGCGCTGGGTCGAAGCTGAGGCTCTGGCGGAGACGGCGGTAGATTGCTCCGGTGTCGAGCTCTTGGTTTTGTATAAACTGTGTCGGGCACGCTTCGTGGCTGAGCCTGGGTCTGCTTCCGCCAGTGATTGCAAGGTTTCAAAGGCGGATTGAGCATAGATGATTTGGTCAGACTCAACTGCCCCAGGTTGAAGAGGACCAGGCTTATGGCGGCCGATAGCCGCCCAATACTCAGGCTGTAGAATATCTATGGTGGCATTGACAGCTTCAATCTCAGTCAAATTACGCTCCACATCAGCAAGTGTAGTGTAATGCGGCTCTTCTTCCCGGGCATACATATGCGTTAGAGTATCGGTAGGGGGGTCAGCCAATTCACACAGGACGTCTTGCTCGGAAGCCAGAATGCGTGCATACTCCTCGGGGGTGTAGACACCCATGGGGTCAATGGTCAAGTCGCTGTAGTCAGGAGTCTCCTCGGGGTACATGAATGTGGATGGGAGAACATTTGGGTCTTCGAACGGGGTGAACCCTAGCATAACTGCGGTGTTAGATGGCTGGTAGGGATCCACATAAGGGTCCCTTGAAGGATCCATAGATGGATCGATTGAAGGGTTTACAGCAGGGTTTGGGGGTGTAGCAGGGACAAAATCCAGTGCAGGAGACGGGTTACCAGTGTCGCGGGACGGAGCCTCATCCGAGCTTGAACAGGGCTTGGGAGACTCGCTGGTAGCGGGGAGCTCCGAAGTAGGATTGATACTATTCGATGTCTCGTAGTCAGAAGAGGACCCATAAGATATGCTTCTAGCACTAAGCTCAGGAGGATTCATGTTGGATTTGGAGATGAAAGAGGACCCAACAAGCGTGTTTTCAGCAGGTAGCAGCCGATCAGAGTCACAATTGGATGATTGGTTTCTGGGTTTAGCAGAGTATGAAGAACGCTTGCTGCTGGCGGGTCCGGATGGATCAGTTGAAGGAATGGGGTCCAGGGTGGACTGACGGGGTCTCTGTTTGAAAAAGAGTCCTACCCTGACAGGAGTGACAGTAGGAATCACGCCCTTGGAGCGTCCCTTTGAACTAGCAGAGTCTGTGGCAGTCTGCCGAGGAGCACGAGAAGGAATATTAGAGTCCGGGGAGTCCTCACGAGGTCTTTTGTTGACAATAATTCTTATCCGAGGAGAGACGATGGGAGTCACGTCCTTGGGGCATTCCTTTGCATTCGTAGAGTCTGAAGTAGTGCCCGAGTTCAAGGTGACCTCGCGTAGTCTCTTTTTAAGAACGAGTCTACTCTTCGGAGTGGCAATTGGAGTCACTTCCGCAGCACGTCCGCCTGCATTCGTAGAGCATGTATTAGTGCTCTGCGGATGGCGAGCTAGGGAAGAAGCACAAGGGGTATCACGAGAAGAAATACAGTGACTTGATGTAGGTAGAAACTCCTCAGAATTTCCTCCAACTGGAGCAAATCGGACTCGAGTCGATCTAATAGGAGTGCTCGGAACTGGGGTAGTTGTCTGACGAGACCGGGTATCCCATTGAGGAGGGTCCAAGGATAAATTAGATGGAGAATTCGAAGCCTTATCCTCTAAACCGAACAAGAGGGAAGGTGGACTAGGCACCGTTGTAGCAAGCTCACGGTCAGAGTCGTTGCCAGTGGTTTGCTGAGGGAAAAAGTGAATCTGGTAAAAAAGACACGTTAACAATGGATGAAAAGATGATGATCCGAACTCACCGATGTACGCTCTTGAGAAGTGGATGGATCAATATCAAACCCCATGCGAGGAGCCACAGAGCTCCGTAACGTGTTGGCTACTCGGGGAGTAGGGCTCTCGTGCGTGACTGCGGCAGAATCATCCGATTCACTGGATGGTGTGCTGCTTGTTTCTCGATCTAATTGAACCACTAGAGCAGGGAACAGGTCCCTGATAACTCTTTCGTGATCCATTTCGTCCATCAAATATGAGGGGAGAGGTGACCAGGTCAAGATCAAATTCTTT